TGGAAATTAGCGCAGAACGAATTACAGCGGGATTCAGCACCAGTGTCGCGCCACGGTGACATTTGATGGTGAAATTAGCCGTGGATTCAAGTTTAATCACTCTGGCAGATTCACTGTGGGTTTACGAGTGTGTGTGTGTGTGTGTGTGTGTGTTAGTGTGTGTCACACTCTGCCTGGATGCCAACACTGGCCCCTAATCTCTTGATTAGCCGGCCAACAGAAATTGTTACTTTTAGGAACTCGGTTCTCCGATCAGCCGACCTCCTAAAACAGGCCTGGGCAAAATAAGGCCCGGGGCCCAGATGCGGCCCGCCAAACCTTTCCAAATGATATAATATATTTACATTATCGTTATACTTCTGCGTTTTCCCTGCAATACCCACGTTTCCCCAATAGATGGTGAAGAAAATAATAAAAACATTTTAGCATGTTAGCATTTATGCATGACCTTTTCATGTCATTTATCTTAGTTCACATGAACGCTCCATCTATCTGCTCCTGACCCCCCCACCCCAGTCAGAGTCAGTACTCCAGGCATCGGAACCGATCACATAAACACGTGTGCGAACACACAAACCCAGTTCCCACACCGCTCTCCACAGCAGTTTTACAAACCCTGGGAATTTAATTCCAAAACAAAGGGTTCGTCCATGCGGGAGAATAAAGTAGGACGTCCAGAGACGACGCCCCGTCACACTCCAGGACAAAGGTCCGTCCGTGTTCCAGGCGGAAGGACGCTGATGACCGAACGCATGCCAAGAAATAAGACTCAGAGTCCAGAGTCCCTAAAACCCCAGGACACACACACGAACACACACACACACACACGGCATTTTTTTTTTGTTAACACACATAAACAGGATGGTGAAACAGAGCACAAAAACAGACCGGCTCAAATTAGACTTTTTTTTTTTTTTTTTTCGCTAAGAAGAAGATGAAGTTCAGATTCGCTGCGTCAGCAAATCGCTGCTCCTCCGTGTTTGTGGGCCCACCTCTCTCCCCCCCCCCCCCCCTCCGCACATCGCCCTCCCTCCCCCCCCCTCGTCTGTGTTTACACAACCCTAAAACAGACACTCACAGTCAACGTTATCATGTAATTCAATTCAATTTACCAATGACTCTAATTTCCTTCCAAGGAAGGAAAAAAAAAGCTACTTATTTTGCCAACAACCACACGACATCACTGAGAGCAATTTACTATTTTGGTAGATGGAAACTTTTTTTTTTTTTGTTTTTTTTTGAGAGGAGACTAAGAAAAATCAGAGGCCGTTTTTCTGGAATATATTTAACCCACTTTTTCAATCTTGTCTCTTGTTGACATTTTGCCAACCCGCCGCCCGCTTACCTGAGCGTGAGATTGTTACCTTATTTTATTTTAGCAGCGATCAACCCTGTTGTCATTTATGTAAATGACGGTGTCTCTCCGAAACACTCGGAGTGAATCAGCATCTTGTATTTACCCACGCCGTGTGCACCCGTGTGTCTTGGACAAGACAAGTAACAAGTAACAAGTAACAGCCTTATGAGCTAAAGCTGCCACCGCTGTAATAAAAAAAATTTAAAAAAATCATTTAAAACAGTGATCCTCAACCTGCGGCCTGCAGGCCGGATCTGGCCCGTCATATCATACCAATCGGGCCCATGACTGGTTCCAAGATAAACACCAAATAATAATGTCCAAAATTGATTTTTATTTAATTTTAATCATTTAGTCGATTGAGACCTAGATTCTCTCATTTATTTATTTATTTAGTTTTATCTCTTTAATCTAATGAATCTTAGTTTATTTGATCTTTTTAAACTTTTTATTTTTTCCTCCTAATAATGAAAATAATAATAATAATAATTATATATATAATCATAATAAAAAAATTAAAAATTAAATTTATTTTTGTTTCAGTGTTGGCTGCTCTTCCCATCTATTACATTTAAAAATATTTTTGATTTTGATTTTCTAACCAGACGACTACATTCCGCCCTCTGAGACAAACAGCAGGAAGTTCTCGTCACTTTAACCTCGCTCAAAAGTGCAGCTGATAAGCTGTGTCCAAATTTACTTGGTGGAAAAACCCAATCTGTGGTAAAACACTTGGCTGGTGTTTTTTGCTTGTTTTATCGCGATTAATCTGAAAGGTGGAGAGACAGAGCGCTCAAGTGAGAAAGAGAGAGAGGGAGAGGGAGAGAGAGCTTCAGACCTGCTTTCATTTTGGCAGTTTGTTCAGTTTCAGATGGAAGGAATGCTGAGTGCACACTGTATTTACAAGACTGCTGCTGTACATCCCCTGTTTTCTGTTGTTTGCATCTGTGTGCACGTGTGTCAAACAAGCTGTAATTTGCCGCAGCTTTGTTTACATTATCAGAGCGGAACACAGAACAGGGGCTCTATTAAATTCTCCTCGCGTTCCAGTGACACACAAGGCGGCAGCAGACGCCGAGAAACACACGCAACGGCCGCAATCACGCCGCTTGTCAGAATGCAGCAGTCACGAGGGAGAGGTGTCTGACCTGAGTGGCTCGTCAGTCTGCGACGCCCAGCGTGCGGCGGTCGCATTAGCGACACCTGTGTTTGATTTGCATGCAGCCCTGATCTGTGAACGGTGATGAGTTTGGATTTACAGCCGTCGTGAAAGATTGTCTCCTCGCACGTCTGACGGATCGTCGCCTCCTCAAACGCACACCGGCCTTAAAAGCTTCGTGCCCCATAAAACTGATCCACTCCATTACTGGGAGTGAAGTTCTGTTTTGATTGCTCTGCGTGCACGAGCGTGCATGTGCATGTGTGCAAGTGTTTGTGCCACTGCTTTAACCAATCAGGACCAGTTATAACTGTGTCTATTGTTTTTTTTACTGCGGTTGTTATATGCGTTCGGCCACGTCGTCAATACGACGTTTATAGAATCGTTTAGATTTATATTTCGATCAGTTCTTCTAATTCCAATAGTGACAAGTTGGGGTTTTTTGTGTGTGTGTGTGTTTTTCCATTCGAGTTCTTCATCCATTAAAGTCTGAAGGTTGTATCTTCCTGGCGAACAATCAGGCCTGCGGACAATTAAAATAAATGAATTATTATCGAACCAATTTGGAGCAAAATTCCGACAGCGTGATCCGGCCGAGTCAATTTAACTTTAAAAACGTCAGGAAAAATAAAGAGATTGCTTTCTGTCTTCTGTCTTCTGTGTGGACCTGCTGCCCTCTCTTCACCCCCCCCTCCCCCGGCCCCCCCCCTTTCATTTCACATCTGGAAACAATGTGCTGAACGCAAAAAAAATCCTGCAGTTGTTTTATCAGTGGGAGAGAAGTCGGAGGTATTAAAGGCATAACTCATCAGATTGGATAAAGGATGCCAACCTGTCTGGGTCGGGGGTGCCATGATATATATCAACACACTTGGTTTGTTTGTGTGCATCTCTGGTCCCACCTGGCAGCGTGACGTTTGGCTGCCCCACAAGGTCTTCTGTGGAATTGACTGATCCAGAGCAAAGCACATAAAATAAAAATATTTGTCAGATGCTCTTGACAAATGAAACGGGGGTTCAAGCTTTCATTCTGAAGGAATCAGGACGAAAACGTAATAATACGCAGTGAAAACTTTGAAACTTTATTAGACATAATGGGTTTTTTTTTTGTCTCACAAAACTGAAGTTTCACACCATACTGAAGAACTGAAAATCGCAGTATCTGTGTCAACGTATGCAGTAAAATGATCAGTACCTGATAAGCTGCAAACACCAGGCTTCAAGTACTATGTACTTTACTATGAGGTTGTTGGAGTACTACATGAAATATCAAATATTTCAGTCCAGATTCTATCATTTCCATCTCTGTATCAGCGGCTGAGAGTCTCTGGTCCCGGCCCTAGTTCTTGGGTTGAAAGTCTGACCAGCCCTGCTGGAGGTGAATGATGATCTCTCTGGTTGGGGGTTCTGGGTTCTTTTCCCAGGGTGCATTGGTTTTCCTTTGTACTTGTTCCTCAAAACATTCCCAAAACACGCAGATTGGGAATTCGGTTGATTGACTATAGGTATAAACCAGCGTGTGAACGGTTGGTCGTCTCCATATGTGGCCCAGTGATGGACTGGAGAACTGCCCAGGATGTAATCTGCCCCCCAGTGGCTGCTGAGATTGTTTTCAGCCCCCCTTCCCTCCCCCCACGACCCTGGAGATGGATGACTAATGACATTGTCCTCAACTATATTCTATATATTCATCATCTTTGCACCAACCTGGGCTAACGTGCTGTACTTCCTGTCCTACAGGAGGAGCAGGAGACCAGCTACACCATCCTCCGCGCTCGTGGATGTAACGTGACCCTGAATGGCCTGAAGCCCAACACTGCTTACCTGCTGCAGATCAGAGCCCGCACTGCAGCTGGATATGGAGCCAGCAGCCCCAGCTTCCAGTTCGAGACCAGCCCAGACTGTAAGTCCAGCCCAGCCCGGAGTCCAATCGTATTCATTCTCTTTTAACTGCAGTCAGAAACAAGGACTGGGTTACCAGGGTTTCACAAAAGCACCAACTGTGGTGATGATTAAATTAAACACATTTCTGGAGATGTAGAGCTAGGTCCTGTAGATTGTGTAACGCGCTGAGTCCAGTTAAATTTAGGGATATTTAATAAATGTGCACAGTTTTTGAAGCGATTGACAAAAAGTGTTCCATAAAAATTATGGCTATCATAACTTAATTAACTTGAATACAAGCGTTTCAGGACTTATAAATACTAAAGTTCCGTTTACTGCGCCTACGTGACGTAACATACAGACCAAACTGATCAAACTAAAATAATCGATCAGTGAAAAAATATACAGCTCCTACAAACGAATAACTAAATAAGTTACATTAGACAGATCGAAAAACACTCTCCATAAAAAAAGTAGTTCCACCTCCTAAACATTTTGTCTCTGCCGTGGCTGCCCCATAGAAAACAATGGAGCTGAGCCTCAGCAGTGTTTAATACACTCCTTCTCTGTAGGAATGAATGGAGAGAACGTGATAAAGTTGATTGTTTTTTTGGTTTCTTTGCACCCTTTAAAACACAGATATTTACCATTTAAGGGGACTTGAACTTCTCTTGCTGCATTTGTTACGTAACATTTCATCAGTAGGTTTTGTGTTTTGGCAGATTTGAGTCTAGTCTGTGGTTTTTTATCCACATCTGAAGGACATTGATTTCTAACTTGAACTTTATTTTGGCTAAACTCACGTCTTCTCCTTGTCTTTTCAGCTGCCTTTTCTATCTCCAGTGAAAACAGTCAAGTGGTTCTGATTGCCATTTCCTCAGCCGTGGCGATCATTCTGCTCACTGTGCTGCTCTACGTCCTGATTGGCAGGTCTGACCACCACTCACTCGCCACAACCTTTAGGCTGAGTCACGTCTCCCGTGTACAGGGACTTTTTATTTTGTCAGTCGGTGAAACCTGACGCCGACTGTTTATAGTAAATACTACTTACCCTACACCACATAGCAGTATATATATATGTATATGTATGTCAGTATATTTCCCATTTTTCTGTGTCGGTTTATTGTGATTAGTATATTTCCCATTGTGTCATTTTTCTGTGTCGGTTTATTGTGATTCCTGTAGGAAACATTTTATAGAGCATGTTTAGGTTTGTGGGTAGAGCACAGGAGATGGAAAGAATTGTTTGTTGTTCGTGTGTGTGTGTGTGTGTGTGTGTGTGTGTGTGAGAGAGAAGAAAAGAACATGATTCTGCTGGTGTGACTGTAGTTGGCAGTCAACGATGTTCTGTGAGAGTAAAAATCCATCGCTCATTATAAGACTTCCCATCCTCTCACGGGCTCATGGGAGCTGGGATTTTACACACACACGCGCGCGCGGGCGACACACACGAGTGCGGAAGATGTGGTACTATTTCTGACCTCTCTCTGTTTGGATTGGCAGGTTTTGTTGCCGCAGCAAATCCAAACATCCTGATGAGAAAAGACTGCACTTTGGCAACGGCCACCGTGAGTATGGCACCGTGGTTTAACTCCGTCCTGGTCTGATCTGTTCGATTTACACTTCACTACTTAATGAGCGTCATAAAAATGGCAGTCACACCACAGATAGTTTATGTTTAGGCGGATATATTTTTAAAACAATTTCTCACATCCACGCAGTGATTGTTTTAGAGCTGATATTTCCAAGCTGTAAGATTTTATTCACTCCGTCATACGAGGAGGAAGCAAACGGACGGACTTTTAAGAAATTCCCCAGGTCCATTGCAAAGCAATTTGTGATTGGTCCAAATATTTAATCATTAACTGATCAATATAAAGTGATTCTAGTGTTAAAGTTGTATCGGAGAAACAGTAAAAGCTTGACTTTGGCCTGATGTCAGCCGTGAACGTTCGCTGTAGATGTGGACGTCGTATCAGCTCGACTTCCTGTCTTGTGTTTCCTCAGCTTTATTTATGGCTCTTGTGTAATTTATTGGACGTTCTTCTACCTTTGGTCTGACCCAGTCATTAATTCACAAACATCCTGGCACTGAACAACACCCTGACTTTTTTTATCTTTTTATTATTTGAGCTTTAGGTCAGACGCAGGGGTTAAAGAACCCAAAGGGAAAATAAACAGAGCTTTAACTCTTAACTGACTGTTTAAAAACACACGCACAATGGGTACAATTTATTGTTAATATTTTTTGTAATTATAATCTACGGTAGTAAATATGCACAAAGACATGGTTTCTAAAAACCAAAGTCAAAGAAAATATTTTGATAAAACACAGTTTAACAGCCCTGTTCTTGGTTTCTAAAAACCACCACCGTACTTTGCTTTGACATAAAGTATCTCAAAGTAAATATTTTTATAAAACACAGTTTAACAGCCCTGTTCTGTGCCTTTACCTTTAAATGGTAATGAGCCACTGTGAGCCCCGCCCACTTTTGGTCTCCGCCCACCTATCCTATCCTCCTATCCTCTTCTTCTGCTCTGTCTCCCCATGTTGTTACATCTGACAACACATTTGTAGCGCCTCAAGTGTTTACACAATAAAGCTCATATTCACTTAGCGCCGAGCTTAATTAGCAGCTGTGCTTAGCCTTTGAAGTTGTACATGTTAGCAATTTAGCTTGTGACCTTAAAAGTCATTTAAAGGCACAGTTACAGAGGTTTGACAGATTATGAAACATGTATTTCGTGATGAAGGTCAGTTTTGAATAATATGTTCATTTAAAGGTTACAGTTATTTGCACACTTGAAACAGAATCATCACATATTTTGTTCACTAACAAATCCCACTCTCTGCTGCCGCTGCAGTACATCTTCCAGGTATCAGAACCTACGTGGACCCTCACACGTACGAGGACCCCAGCCAGGCTGTGCACGAATTCGCCAAAGAGCTGGATGCCTCCTGTATCGCCATAGATAAAGTCGTGGGCGCAGGTGAGAATGAAATAATCAGACTTTGCCGATCACATTGTTATTTTTTTTTTTACCATCATCATAGCTGTCTCAGACCCTTGTTCATGTACAGCCCTCAGTCCCTATCTTGAAGATCCTTTCTTCTTCCCAAACCTCGTTCATATGGCAGCCCTCTTTTTTTTTTGAAGCCTCCTCCTCCTCCTCCTCTCCCTCCTGACATCTCCCCGCCTCTTCTCTCTTCCCCAACAAATTCAGCGGCAGTGCAGTGTAATGCATTGTGATTCATGTCAAGTGCAAGCAGAACGTATGGAGAATAAAGCGCACAGCCCATAACAGCGGGGCCGCTCTCCAGAGTCCCCTCGGCGCTCCGTACTTTTTTCAGCTGTCAGGAAGACTGAGGCTCTGATAACCCACTTCACACTGGACTCTTCTTCCCTCGACAACGCATCGCGCAGTCTCGCTGCGTTTGGTCTTAAACGGTGTGTTGGAAATCACAGGGAAAGGTCAGAGTTGTCCGAGTGTCACATGAGGCGCCTGTGAAATCTATCATTTTGACAAAGTCTGGGTGCGACTGTGCTGCTGCCCTTAGTAAACACTGAACACTTTCACACAAATATATATATATATATATATACATATACATATATATGTATATATGTATATATATGTAGAAATACAACTTTTTCTACAGTTTCACACATACACTTTCACATATATATATACATATACATATATGTATATATGTATATGTATAAATACAAGTATTTCTACACATACACTTTCACACATATATATGTATACATATATACTACATATATACATATACATATGTAGAAATACATAGATCTATGTAGAAAACCCTGTATTTCTACATACATACACATATATACATATATGTATACATATATAGTACATATATACATATAAGTATTTAGAAATACAAGTTTTTCTACATAGTTCAAAAGTACACTGTGTATACTAGGAATTTTCACAGTCTAACACCATGCCTGCCCCCCCCCACCCCCAAACCATCACACACCACGCTATTTCTAAATATTGGCAAAAAATCTAAAATTCCTGTAATGGGTTTATATTAGTTCTTTACTGGAGAACGTTGACAGATTTACACTGATTTAAAGTGTTTTCACATGGAATATTATAAAGTCTTCATCAAGCGATGTGATGTAAACGGTTACGTCTGTCACCTTCAACGTCGGACTGATCCACCACTCATTAATAAGAGTTCTATGAAGCCATACATGAACTGGACTCTTTCTTTTCGATCCCAGCCTCGTGCTCCATCTGTCTTCATCGAACATGTCGGAACAACTTTGATCTGCTCGCCAATCAGTGATTGTGTGTAAAAAGGACTAAAAACACGCAGCACGCAGCGGGCGTTTTCATGGATCAAATTTAAACATCAAAGTGAAATACCTCGCCAAGTGAGTGTCCCCTAATCAGCCTTCATTAGTCCAAGATTAGTTCTTCTCTCTCGGAGTGACCGCATTACATAAAAAAAAAAGTTCACTGGCCTGGTTCGTGTGTCCACTGCTGACGGCCAGAAGAATGAAGCAGCACGAGAAAGGACAGACATACTTTTGGTATTTGGACAGGCTGCAATTATTCCGCCTAAGTTCTTCCAGACTCAATTCGTACGAGTCCAAGACTTGACCCATGCTCTCTGCTCTGGAGCCGCTATGGGAAATGACTGTAGAGGACGGAGGAGTGATGTCCACACACGTCTCGGCACTGACATCACAAACCATAAGCACAGAGGGCATTTACAGACGCAAACACAGTCTGGCTACAACGGTAACATGGAGGTCATCTGATGCAACTGGACCAACTGGGCAACAAAGATCTCAAGTCTCTGGAGCAGAAATAGAACCAACACCAGTTTGAGAGGAAGAGGAATTAAAGAGGACGTTTGATGCTATTTTTATGCTTTTTTTACACAACGGTTCAACAGTTCCGTTCTTAATGACTGGTGTCAGTGCCTTTCTCTTTAAATGGTAATGAGCTACTTCAAGCACTCCGCCCACTTCTGCACTCCCCTTACCTTGTATCCACCAATTTGCCTCCGGGTGTGTCAACCCACCTCTGGTGCTTCAACTGTTAAAATTTAGCTAACTAAGCAGCTGGACTTAGCTTTCTGGGCTGTACATGCTAACTGTTGTGCTCCGCTAATCTCTCTGCATGTTTTGATACATTTCCCTGATGAAAGTGTTTGTGCCAAAACTTTGACAAACTCAGAGTGTAAAGGTCACCGTGACGCTCCTCTGCTGCTACAGTGGGAAGGGTAGCTAGCTCATTACTACGCGCGGCGTCATTACTATACTTAGTGGTCATTGCACGTAATTATCCAATGATTGTTTCCTCGACCAATAAATACTTTCTCAGAATTTATTTGAGGTCGTCTTAATTAAATGCATCTCAAACAGCTGGAGGAAAAGGTTTTAAAGTCATTTCAACTATGTACAATGTCATTCCATCCTCTTTCCTTCAGTCTTCTCCGCAGATTTAAAACCACGTCAGCCTCGTTCCCATTAATGCAACTGAAGACTTTTGTTTTTGTCTCTTCCATCTTTGTGTTTCCCAGGTGAGTTCGGCGAGGTGTGCAGCGGTCGCCTGAGGCTGCCCAGTAAGAAGGAGATCTGTGTGGCCATCAAGACTCTGAAGGGAGGATACACGGACAAACAGAGACGGGACTTTCTGGCCGAGGCATCGATCATGGGACAGTTTGACCACCCCAACATCATCAGGCTGGAGGGGGTGGTGACACGCAGTAAGTGCTTTCATGAATCATCATTAAAGCGGTGCATCCGGAGTGAAGTCACTTCATGAAGCCGTTGCTCCAACGGAGGCCCGGAAGTTTTTGTTTTAGTTTCGCTCTTGAAGTGTCAGACGTAGCGATACTTTTTTTAATTCCGGACATCTTTGATGGGTCCTTCTCCTAAGCCTCTTAATATGTGTAATATATATTTTAAAATTATAATCACTGTGTGACTAATTAATAGCACACGGCCAGAATTGAACACCATGAGATACAAACTAACTCCTTCACGTCAGGAGGAGGATTTGTACCTACATTCCATCACGTATTTCACATCCCCGGAGATGTTTTTTTACTGATTGCGGATTTTACAATTGTCTTTGACAAATGGCTCTACAGTATCTGACAATTCCATGAAGAAAAAAAAAAAAGGACGGCAGTTTTATTGAGTTGCCGAGGTGTAAATCTCTACAGATCAATGTGCTTTGATCAAAGCCCATGTCCAAAGTGGGCATAAATCCATAAATCCATAGCTCTGACTCGCTCCCCTCTGGGCCTCTTTACAGGACTATCATTAGCACAGAGAAGGCCTCTTTAAAAAGGGATGACTGCAGAAAAAAAAGGAAATAATGAGTATGAACTTTGCAGTGAAACGGGCCAGGCCTCTATCTCTCCCTGCGGCACCGGGCTTATTAAGCAGCTCCAGCGTGTTATTATAAGAGAGAAGAAAGAAGAATAAAATACCTGAACAACTCCACTTTACCTTATGTCCTCAATTTTGTGTCTTATTAAACCCCGCGATTCCTCTTTAAAGTCCTAACGTCTTCTGCGTAACGTTAGAAACTCGAATGCTTCCTGATCCTTAAATTAGCATGAAGTCGCTGGTCGGCGTGACTGCGTTTAATCCAAACCAGCGCTGCTCACCTAACGTTTCAAAGTGAGCGGTTAAAACAGGCACAGATGCAGAATCCAATCTTAGACTTTGGTTCCGTCTTTGACTCATTACACTGAACAGTCGTCGCGTCACTGAGGCCGATCATCGGTTTGAATCGGAGTCTGAAAATTGTCACTGAACCAATAACAGAACCGATGTTAAATGACTGTAGAGTCTGGCACGGAAAAAAACAGAAAATTCAAATTTTTTGGAACCAAGATGTTCATTCAACAACGTAAAAAAAAAAATCCCCCAAAAATGTGCCTAATAGCTTTGTTTATGAAATATTGTTTGTATATATTTTATATATATTGTTTGTATATAACAGTTATCTTAATCCACTAGAGGGCAGAGTACGTGTATGGGATCATAAACAACAGGTTTTAAAGGAAATAACTGATCATGTTGATAAGATCAAGGTCTCAGAATCTATGAAGAAAGAGAAGGGTGTCATCTGCGAATGTATTGACGTAACAAAAAAAAAATGTTTTTCAGCTCAAAGAGGAAAAACTTTATGTTTTAAAAATGTTTGGTCACAAAAAGAGCAGATTGAGTCCAACGTTTGAATCTTGTTTCTGGCTCCTCATTATTCAAACCCGGACACGGTCCACTCTGAAAGTGGAACACTGTGTCTGCGATCCCTCATTCCTGCGGATGTTTCTCTGACACATCACTTACTCTTTCAGTCCACTTCACTTGGGCAGCGAGACGTCCTACAAAAACAGGAGGCTGGGCTTTAATTTGCTGTTTTAGACTAATACAGGAATGTGTGTGTGTGTGTGCGTGTGGCCTTGTATAGCCATACTTGTGGGGACAATTTTGCGGGGAAAATACTTAAACCTATCATTGTTAGGCAAATAACTACAAAGTGAGTTTTTTTAGAGATTTATTTTGAGGGCTTTCACATTAGGGTATGGAGTATTTGTTATAGT